TATTTAAAAAGTCAAGTCTCAGTTTTCAGTGAAATCTGTTTTTTAACAAGTTGATTGATAAATATCAAAGAAATTTAAACGTTACACTTTGTACTTTTTAAATCCCAAATCAAGGTATTTTGATTTACAAGGTAGTTTGCAAACTTACAAAATACATTTTATAGTTTCTACTAATTTTGCTGGAAAAATAACCAACTTAAACTTTGCCAACACTCACTAGCTGACTACTGGACATGTTTTTGTCTCTTCTTGCCACATGGACTCACGTTAGAAGTAAGATTGCTTTTGAAAACAGGAACATCTGAGGCATACTAATGTCACCGTTTCAGAAACGGAGCAACAGAAATAACGTATTTAGTATATTTTTATAATATTGTTGATTATATTTGGGATGGAATCTATAATTTTATCCTTTCTATTATGTCATTTTAGGTTTCTTTCCTTTTTTCCTTTGGTTGGTTGGTTGGTTTTGCCCGTGTTTCTGTCCCTTAGTGGTTATCCTAGGAATGGCACCCCCGTCCACACCTGGAGTTAATCAAGGTCTTTACTGTCCTCTTGGAGGAGAGACGCCCTCAGATCCCTTAAACTCTGTTTATACCTGTCCCCATCCGGAGTTTCCCTTAGTGGGTCTACTGATGAAGAATTCTTAGTTTTTGTCTGAAGATATCTTTATTTCACCCTGATTCCTTGAATACTATATATTTTCCCCGGGTTGCCATCCGTTTCTTTCAGCACATGAAGCTGTCACCCCCCAGTTTTCAGGCATCCACCGTTCACGTCGCGAAGCCAGTGTTAGTCTGTCACTCCTTTGAAGGTGATGCCTATTTTTTTTCTTCCTGTTTAAGATTTTCTTTGGTTTTTGCAGTTCACTATACTATGTCTTGGCTTGGATTTCTTTTTATTTATCCTGTTTGGGACTTACTAGGATCCTTGCATCTGTGGATTGTTGTCTTTTTTCAGTTCTGAAAATTCTCAGCCATCTCTTCAAATAGTACCTCTCACACTCTCTTCTGAAGTTGCAGTGGAATGTATTAATATATTTCATTTCACTTTATCACTTTCTCAGCCTGTCTTCCAGGTATCCTAACCTTTTTTCCGTATTTCCCAGCTTTTTCTTTCTGTTGCATTTTAGTTAGTCTCCTCTCATCTACAGTTTCATTCATTCATTATTTTGCTATGTCAACTCTGAGGCCACGTCCGTCCATCAAGCTTTACTTTGGTGATTGTACTTTTCTCACACTTTCCTGTTTTTCATGACCTTGGCAGTTTTGAGGAGTGCTGGTCAGGGTTTCATCTTTTGGGATTTGTCAGGTGTTTTCCAGATGATTAGACTAAGGTGATGAGCTTGGGGAGAAAGACCACAGAGGTAAAATGCACTTTCAACACAGATCAAGATGACATCAGCCGGCTGAGGTCATGTTTGTTAACCTTCGGGCGCCTGGGCAGGTGGTGTCTGTCAGGTCTCTCCCTGTCCGCTGCGTGTGCTCTCAGGAGGGAAGTCACTAAGTGCAGCCCTTGGGGAGGGGGAGCGTCACTCGCCACGAGGGCAGAGCATCTACAGAAATGGCTTGGAGTTTGGTACAGATTTCTAGTTACTCCCATTTATTTCTTTATTTATAATCAATATGGACTCGTAGATATTTATTTTTATACTTCGGATTATAACCCAATACTACTTTATTTTGATGCTCAAATTGTTCCAGCTTTGGCTGTTCGTAGCTTCTTCAGTTGGTTCCTGTGTCCCCTGGACAGTAACCCCAGCTTGCTCTGTTTCCGTAGCTGTTCAGAGCACGTCCTCACTTTCTGGCACTGCGGTGTTCTCCAGGCACGTGCTGTGTATTTTCTGCCCCTGCCCTGAAATCAGCCATTTCTCCAAGAAGCCCTGATTCCTCTTATTGGAGATGGTGTCAGAAACCTAAAACCAGAAGCTAAGTGTGACTGTCGCCCTCTCAGGTGACAGTGCAGGGAAATATGTGTGCACATCACTGTCAGTGTTTCTGTGCGGAACCCTGTCAATAGGAAGCTGACGTGAATTCATCCTGGTGTCTCCAACTCCAGGTCATTACCACGTGGATTGTTCTCGCCTCCTCCCCTTGCTTCCTCTGTAACGCCCACTCCCACACCTGGCTGCCGCCGCCTGCCGTCCATATCCCAGCAGTTATTCTTAGCAACTGTCGTTGCTATAATGGAAACCGTGAACTTCCTCCTGTTTTTGACACAAATGGCAGACTGTCGTACAGACTGCTGTGCAGACACGTATACTGGCACCATTCTTGTTGCTCCACACGCGTCTTCCCTTGTCCTTTTTGAGGCTGGACAATATTCCATGGTCCGAATGTTCTCTAGTTTATTCAACGTCTTGCTTATTGATGAGCATCCAGGTTATTGCCAATATTTTGTTACACAGCGCAGCAGGGATTATACTTGTTTTGTGAGCATGTGGGAGGATTTCATGAAAGTGAAGTGCTTGGTCAGAGAGCGTGGACAATTCACAATGCGATAGTGTTAAACTGCCCTCTGGAGACGGGGCCACCCATCTCCTCGCCCTCGGTGGACCCGTACCTGTTTCCCAATGCCGCCTGCAAAGGAGAGATCACGATCAACCTTTCTCACTGCAAATGAGATGTGAAGGAAATTCGCTTGGTTATATTCAACACAAATATATACTTTGACTTTAGAGAGGAGTATTCTATTCAGAAATCTTACATTTTTATGTAGTCAATTTGTCACTCCTTTTCCAGGATTTTGTCATGCTTAGAAAGGCCTTTCATCTTCTGTTTTATTCCAGCACTTCTGTAATAAACTTAAAGTCTGACATGCAAACAGGCATGACCACCTGTATACATACCACCCAAGCATCCTGGGTAGGCAGAGCCCTGCCCACCCTTCCTCATCTCACCCTCTCCCTCAAGGAACTAACCGCTTTCCAATCCAGGGTTTCTCATCCCTGTTGTTTGCAAATTCTTGTTACTGATCTGTTACTAGTCCACGTTTGTTCCCGTTCTGGTGCACGCACCTTCTCAGCAGCCTGGCTTGCCCCTGGGCCACATTGAGACTGCTGTATGGCGGCGCTGTGTGTATTTAAAACATAACATGCAGGTGTTCTGTGTTGCTGCACTTGGCTTCACCGTTCAGGTGAAGAGATTTATCTAGGCTGAAGCCTGTGGTTGTAGTTTATTTTCATAGCTGTTGAGTATGATTTGGATATACCTCAATGTACTTACCCATTTTCCTGCTGCTGTTACTGGTAAATTAGTTGTTTGACTTTTCTCCCATAAACACTCTGGCGTGGCTCTTCCTGCACGTGCGAGTGTCTAGGTGATCTGGGAGTGGACCGGAAGGACGGGTGGTGTGGAGAGCATCTCCTCGTTCCAAGCGCTTGCTTCGTTCCACATCCTTGGCATCAGAAGACCCATTTTTTGGTCAATTGACAGGCATGAAATGACATCTTGTGATTTCAATTTGCAAGCAAGGGCTGAGCATCTTTTCACATTTATAAACTATTCAAGTTTTCTCCTGTTTATATCATTTAACTGCTTTTCTTTTGGGAGTGTATAGTTTCATTTTTCAAATCTTTTGAACCGTTTGCAATTTATTGGGTGTAAGGGATATAAGCTCTGTTTTTTCAAGATGACCACCCATGTAAGAAGCCAACTTTCACTTGCTAAGGTGAAACACCACCCTTCAAATAATGCATTTAGTTACTGCAGCTTTATGGGGGTTTTGGTATTTAATGTCTAATTATCAAATCGGGGTAATTGGGATATCCATCATCTCAAACATTTGTCTTTTGTGTTGGGAACGTTACAATTCTAATTATTTGGAAACATACAATAAATTAACTGTGATGTCCCTATTGTACTATCAAATACTATAACATATGTCTTCTAACGGTATGCTCGTACCCGTGATTACTACAGCTTTGTGTGTAGTTAAGACCTTGGTGCGCTCCATCACTTTGTCCCCCTCGTGTTACTAGAATCAACCTGCCTGATTAAAACCACTGTTGGCATTTCCATGTAAAGAATTATAGATCATTCAGGTTAAGATAGCAGTTCTCCCTGAATTATTAACTTTCCTATCTAAGAACAAGATGTTTCCATTGATGTGATATGACCCTTGGTTGCTATTTTTCATTCAGAAGGCATTTTTTTCTTCTCTGATTCCACTGACTCATGTCTCCAGAAGTGTTATGTAGTGGGCAATAGTGGACTTTGAGTATAATTCTGAAGTGTTTCAACACTTTTGGTTTACTTTTAAGTTTGTTCTAATAAATGGGAATTTAGTTATACTTTTTTTAAGAATAGACGTTAAATTTTATCAAGTTTTACTACATCAATAGAGTCGATAGGACTCATAGTGTTTTTATTAGACTTACAGAATCATTCACTTATTCTTGCATCCTGATAATTTAAGTAATAAAAGAACCATCTTATGGAATTCAAAAAACAGAGAAAAGCCCAACTGCGAACCATCTCTGGAAAATAAGCACTGAGTGTCCATCAAGGGGATGAATGCCAGTAGCTGTTTCAGTACATTTCAACTCTCTCTTCTACATCTGTCAGCAACAGGGAATGCAGAATTTTACATTTTGCATCTGAACACTCTTAGAAGCATCTCTCCATTGCTACAGTCTCCAAAATTTTTCAGGCTGGCGACAACTCTGGGTGGCGTCTCAGCTTTCTTGGTTGTGTTGACTAGTGAGGCCTTGTGTTTGTTTCTCTGAAGGCCCCACTGGTGATGAACACTTAGCTTTCCCATCCTTGAAGGGCAAGGAGGCAGGACTCTTACAGATCACATTTCCCACAGGCGGCCCTTCTACCAGTCTGTTCCCCTGTGCACAAAGTCATGTCCAAAACGTTTCCACCCCCTGTACCCACGTGAGCCTCTCTGCTCAGACTGAGCGTTCCCTGCAGAGGTGCAGGCACAAGGCTGGAGGCCCTTGGTGCCCACCACCCACCCTGCACCCTCCCACAGAACAGTCACCACCGCACCGAGAATTTATCGTAGAATAGATTTATTTACCTGAAACCATGTCTGTGCAACACTTATTGTTACCAGCACAGAAAGAAACAAACTGATCTCTATTTACAGTCTAAAGTCAAACATGCTTTGATAAATTGACATTTAGCATTTTATTAAGATAAATGCATCACAATATTTGTATTGCACCAACATCTGTCTACTGCTTCTGCTTTCATTAAATAAGTTACATTTAATACAGTGCGAAATAGCTGTCTGCACACTAAAAAAATAACCAAAGTTATGAACTGGAGGCCTACATTTAACCATTCAACACTTGTAGTGTTTTTAATGAATTTATAAATAAGCAAACTGTACAGGGCCAATTAAAAAGTAGCATGTTTCAATGTCACTGTAGAGAAATTGGCTACTTACAACTGAAGGCATGCATTACAATTGAATATTGTACATTTACATAAGCTGTGATGTTTTGCACAGAGAAATGTGGTGACTTGGCCGATGGCTTCTAAGTTCATGGATAAGGTTTTAGAACCTTATTCTTGCAGCAAAGAAACCAAACTTCTCTGGAGAGGCTTTCTGATTCCTTAAGCTAAATTGTACATTTATAATATTTTGATTTAAAAGCTAAAAACCCCATTGGTAATACACATTTCCTCCACATAACACACAATGAGTTGGGAACTTTTTTCTACTTTTCTTTTCCCCCCAACATCAATCATGCAGAGGGTTGGTAGATGTGTTGCTAAAAACGCACATGCACACACCGAATACCCTTACATTTCTGCAAAATGGTTTAGGAAGTGGTTACTCCAGTATTGCTGAAAAGGAAAGAGAGAGGAAATCAGCTTCATGAAATACAGGAGGAAATGTTAGATTAACTATTTAAGATGAAGATCAATAGTGACAGTTGAAAAAGAATATTCAGCTTGATTTCAAGACCAGCATTTCCGATTGACTGTCCCTGAGGTGCCGCCCACACGGGGTTGCATCTAGAAGCACTGACTCTGTGACACAGACCCCTCGCGACATCTGGCTCCACAGCAAAGGCTTTGGAGGAAAACCCCATGAGGCACTTAACATCATTGCAGGCGCTTAGAGCAGAGAGACAAGCAGGACAATGTCTTGGTTAGCGGTGCGGAGGGTGAGGCTGACAGAGGAGTGAGCAGCAGGGCAGTGGCGCAGCCCTCCCAGCCCACAGCTGGCCTCTGGGCCAAGGCCCCGCTCCACCCAGTCCTGGTGGCTCGTCACCACTCCCCTCGGTCAAGAAGGCCGAGGACCACCTTTCTCAGTAACTGTAGAGAGGTTGTTTGAACAGAACTCGGTGGTTACAGTCAAGGGCAGCCACTGACTTAGCTCACGGGCACTGCAGACCGTGGGCTCTGCCTCTAGGCTGTGGCTAGGTGGCTGGCAGACACTGAGCTAGCACTGCGGTCTCAGTATTCCTGAGGTCTGCGCACCTCACTCACTGGGCTGAAGCCCCAGCCAGAGGGTGACGTGGCAGCTGTTGTGAGGGAGGCTGGCCAGCGGCCCTGCTTGCCTGGGAGCTCACTGAGTTCTCAGGACAGCTCCCTCCAGAATGGACCACTTGCGTTTTACAGAGCCGCTGCAGTGGTGTCCCAATTAGGGGATGTGTGAGAATGGCAGGTCTCCTGGGAAAAGGGCAAAGCTTAAAGAGGCAGGGAAGGCACGGGGTAGCAAAAAGAGACACAGATAACTCTTAAGCCACCTGCCCATCAGGTAAGAACTTGAAGCTGAGTCTCAGGCAAGAGCTGCTTGACAAACAGGTGCAGGGTGGGGCTGAAGCCGACCCTGCCTTCTCCATTTACTATGTCCCCTCCTGAGGGTGCCGGGTGAGGGCAGGGCTGAGCACCTGGCCCTCACTGCAGCGTGGAGGACTGAGGCCAGGGATGTGCCCAAGATCACGGCGCTAGACTTGGTCTTTGTGGGTTGACTTAGCCAAGGAGTAGATGCTGAAATGTTTTTGACCAGGAAAGCCCATGTGGCCCTGCTAAAGCCAGCAGTGGGCCTAACCTGCTCTCGGCTCTTTGGGCAAAAGGAAGCAGGTGCCCAAATGGTCTCTCTGGGCTGGAAGGGGCTGAAGCTGAGAAACCACAAGGCAACAGCCAGCCCAGGGCCATTTGGGGTCAGGTGTGTCTCCTCCTGCAGCCCGCACCATTCAACTTTCTTTGTAAGGCTGCTAAGTCAAGGAATTGAGTCAGGAAAAGCTATTTGGTTAGTTTTGTTTCCACTGAACAGTGTCCCACCCAACAAGCTCAGACAGCCTACTTCAGTGTGCAGCTCAGACACACTCCTTGCGTTTGAGCCACTCAACCCATTTTTCATACTCTATGATGCCAACACTGGCGAAACCCAACCCTGCCCTAACCTTCTCTGCTGGGCAACCCGGCCTTCCTTCCCGAAAGCCCCAATTCCCCAAAAGCAGCTGGAGGCAGCATGGTGAGCCTGACCAGGATTGTGCTTTTAGAGTCAGTTTCTATGCTCTTCTTCCATCCCCTTAAACTTGGACCTCTGAACTTGACAGGACCTTGTCCTGTTTGACACCCTTAACTTCTCCCCAAACTCCAAGCATCTGCATCGTACCTCCTGGCTGCGCCAGTACCCAGAGCCCGAGCAGCTGCTCGAGCACAGTCAGGGCCTGTGGGAAGGGCTGGTGCTGCTGCACAGGCCTCCTCACCTGGCCGGCAGTTTTGGGCTGAGCGGAGCCATGCCCTAGTAACTGTGCTTTGGCATGCCATGGAGAGCTAAGTCTTAGCCATTGAGGACATGACCTAGAAGGGGGTGGGGTGGCCTATTTAAAATGAACCCACTGATGCTCAAATTCACTAGTTCAGGTAGTTACTAGCTTTCCCTAGATGTTTTGCTTTTTCATGAACAAAGCAAAGTTCTGGGATGATTCCTTGCAGCTAACAAAGATCAAAAGCGCCTCCCCTGTTTTTATGAATCCTTCTTTCAGCACTAGAGGCAGCACAGCTCTGGCCAAAAGACAATGAGGCTCTTACCCTCAGGCCTTTTTTCTGGCTCAGCCCACCCTGACATCTTGCCACTGTCAAGCAGGGCGTGGAACTCTATGGGAGTCACACTTCAGCTAGCTAATGCCACGCAGTCTCTGGGAGCCCACATGGGCACCTGTACTGCTCATGGGAGTCAGGGAACACAGGAGTGTCTGACACAAAGAGGCTTATTCATTAGTGACATAGTTATCACATTTGGTGGCAGTCACCTTTAGGCTAAAGCATCCAAATCCCAGGGAAGAAATACTCACGTTAGTTGATGGATGTTGGAAGGCATTGGAGGAAAACACCACAGTTAGGACTGTTAATGACTTATATACTGTTGGTAAGACTGATCTCGAACATGCGCAAAGATGGTGGTGGTTAGTGCCACATTCAAATAAAAATAGTTCTATACAATATGTTCATTTGGTCATGTGCTATTTACAGATTTTACAAAACACACGCGCACACACACACGCACTTGCCCTTATGTTCTCTACACCAGGCTAGAACAGGCCAGCACAAACTTGCATAAAATGTATACCACAGATGACAATTAGTGCCTATACATTAAAAAACATAATTCCTACAACTACCTAATGCAGCAGAACAGGATCATTCTTCCCCTCAAGCATAGTAAAACTGAAGTTCTAAGCTAAGAACTTAAGAGTTAAAAACAAGACCGTTATTTTTCTCTGTCCATTTAAAATGTTTTATTTTTCTTTTTATACTAGATTTTGAAGTGCCACTGAAATAGGCAATGTTGGCGCAAAACAATGTCTGTTACAATAAAATACATTAGACATTTAAATAAATAACCTTAAAAACTATGTGAAGGGACATAAACCCAGTCGATTGAATCTGGAACAATGTTTTCTGCACAAGCGAGAACAGGCATACCTCTTGTTAAAACGACCGATGTAAACAGGACCATCAAAATCCTATAGAAGAAGCCGAGCAGGGCTGGGGGTGTGGTGGGGTGGGGTGGGGTGAACGGAGGGCTGAGGGGGGTGGTGAGGGAAGTAGCAAACCAAAAAATACTGACTGAGGTAGCAGGACTCTGCTCAGTGCAGAAAAATTGGCTTAATGAATAAAAATTAGACTGTGATATCAAATTAAATCCAGATCATCATGCAAAAGACACAATACATGCTATTTAGTTTTAGAAAAAACCACGCACATTCATTTCCTAAAATCTGCTGCCAATTGATTTGCTGACAATGTCTGCTGGCTCAACTATTTTTTTATACAAAGATGAGTATTAAACAGAACACTGTACATGCTTTTTCATCTACAAAAAAATATTTGCATAAAATAGTGTTAGTTCTCTGTACATGTCAATGGACACTTTAATTATGTGTATAAAAAAGGAAAATCTTGCCCCACTGGAGTCAGAAAAAGCAAAACAAAATCTAGAGTATGAAACCTCCGTCACCAGCCAGTATGTTCATGTGAAAATTCAGCAGAAATAGACAGTTGCTTTAAACAATAAAAAATTAATTGATTAAGTTAAACATCTTCTTTGCGGGGAACTGTCAGTCAAGACCAGAACATATCACTAAAGTTAGTGTCTGTGCTATAGACCCAGACCACCAGGGGCATTATGAGCAGCACAAACGGCCAGGAAATCCCATCGGTGCATGCGGAGAGCGAGCAGGATTTGGTGGCAGGACGCACACACTCTTTACCGGGTTCCAGGTAGTTGCGGGCCACAAACTTGAGCGTCTCATCCATGAGAATCACAGGCAAGGAGATTTTCAGCACCATCAGCCACTGGGTCACATTCAGCGGTGTGATCTGGAAGATGAGCTGAAACACAAAGAAGCCTTGTCATGCTTCTTTGGAGACTTGCCAGAAGGGAGGCAGCTGGTCCCCAGCCCTGGTCCCACGATCACTTACTGGCAAGGGTTCCACGTAGAGGATCAGGAAGTGGAGTGACATGGACAGGCAGATGGAGCCCACGAGCCAGATATTCTCCCAAGGGGGCATCCTCAGCAAGGACTGGTTTTCAGACAAGCTGCAGAATGAGGAAAGTACGTGAACTCACCCAAAAGGCAAAGGCAGTTAGAGACCATGCTGGACTCTATTTCAGTAAGGCAGCCGCTAACCTGGCATCCTCCACTGACCTAATTCTGAAAGTTTCTACAGTGGCAAAGTTAAGGAAAAGAATGTTCGGATGTAGGACAAACTGCCAATTTTACATCTAGGCTCAGCACAGCAGATCCCATCCCAGCAGGTTCAAAGCTGTTTCCGATTGCCCTGGACACTTAGGCTATTTAGAAATTTCCATTTTTGTCACTTAATTGGATGATACCATTTGTCTCAGTATTAAGTGGGTACTAGCACACAGGGTACCGAAGTTCCTATTTTCGGCCTCTACTGTTTCTTTTAAGGAAGAGCTGTTAAGAAACGTGGCTAAGCGCTGCCACTACTTCCTGAAGGTGACAACATCTTAAGCTTCTAAAACCGGTGTTGCTTGTTCTTTCTGTTTGAAAGGGAGGAGCTTTCCTGTGATCCTCAATCAACCATGACACACACGCAATCCCCCAGGGCCCTGGTGGTCAGAATTCTCGCCTCAGCCTGTCAGGAAGACTCACTCACCTGTTGAGGGCGTTACACATCTCTATGGTTACTAGAACAGAGAGCGCCATGGTCATTGGGTAGGGAGACTCAAAGACTTCACAATCTACTCCTTCAAAGTCTGGATTGTCCTCTTTACACTGTAGGAAATGACTCTGCAACAAAAATCCAATCAAATTCTTATCAGCCCAGGCACCAATTCCACACTAAGCCCAGAACACAGACCAGCCCAAGTGCAGAGCAGGTGAGGGTTTACCCCATTTCCCAGAGAAGCCTGGTCCTTCAGAATCACTGTAGATGCAACTGCTTATTATTTGAACCTTAAGATTATTTGACAGACACTTCACGTCTAAGGTACAGAAAGAAAGGTGGCTACATACCAGCTGGTAGAAGGACACTCTTGGACCGCCATCAGCGGCAATGAACCACCACGCAGCAGCACCCACAGTAGCAGCGCCGACATAACCTGGGAACAAACATGACGACACTGATGCACTTGGGACAGTGCCCCATGGCACATACTGCTGGTGATGCCTGTGGGCCAATCCTCAGGAGGACAAAGACCTTGATGTCAATGGTAATTGGAGCCTGAGGAGCTCCTACCAACTGCCCGTGCCCAGCAACCCAAGCAGCTAGGACAGGGACATTTCTGGTATAGAACTAGCCAACCTTTCCTCCAGAATGAGCAAGACCCTACTGAACCCTGTGCACTGCTGACTAGTGAGAGAATGCTGTAAGACTGCAGGCACATGTGTCCTCCACATAAGGCTAAACTGTCTGGGACCAGATCACACCATGACTTTTAGGCAAACTGATGCCATCTAGTAGTATATATTTGTTCCACGAAAGGCCCAGCAGAATCTTTCTGTGGAAACGCCATGAGAGCAGTTAGTGCACAACACTGAGCGACAAGGCATGGCCCAAAGCATATTCTGGGACTAATCCCTTCTCTCTACTAGTTTGGACTTGAGGAAGTTTATTAAAGCAGCAAGGTGTGGTAGAGAACACAGAATTCAGAATAAGAGAATGTCCCCACACAGTAGCATCTGTCAAAAATTATAAGTGCTTGGGAGGCTGAGGCGGGTGGATCACTCAAGGTCAGGAGTTCGAGACCACCCTGAGCAAGAGCGAGACCCCATCTCTACTAAAAAGATAGAAAGAAATGATCTACAACTAAAAATATATAGAAAAAATTAGCCGGGCATGGTGGCGCATGCCTGTAGTCCCAGCTACTCGGGAGGCTGAGGCAGGAGGATCACTTGAGCCCAGGAATTTGAGGTTGCTGTGAGCTAGTCAGCCACGGCACTCTAGCCAGGCAACACAGTGGACTCTGTCTCAAAAAAAAAAAAAAAAAAAAATTACAAGTGCATATACCCGCTAACCCAAGAACTACAATGGAGCCTTAGGCAGCTAGATATGTAGTGATACAGAATTGTCTTTACTTCTTCCTGTTGGTTAGATAAGGGTCAGCACGCAGGTGAGCGCAGCACGCCACACCACCTCTGGAAGGGTACAGGGTGTAAAAGAAACCGTCAACACTGGAGCAAAGTGACTAGGGAGAGCCTTTCCACTCCATACCATTACCATTCGTGCTTAATTAAACTGTGTGAACATATTACTAACACAACACACCCTCCTACGGGGTCCTGGAAAAATGATTTCCTATCTGGACCTCACTTTCCTAATGTACAAAATGGGGAAGAAGTGGCACCCAGCTCAGGAGGATGAGGTCAGAGATGATTGAGGTACAGCAGGGCCCTGTGCACGCACCAGCCGCAGTGCCCTTCTCTTATGGCAACGGAGACTTAGTTTTTTATCTTGGTGATAATCATCTATTCAGTCCCACCTGTGAGCTTTCCGAAGGCAGGACCCAGCCTGAGGCACCCCTGTATCCCTTTGCACAAGGGGCTATAGCTGAGAACCTTGACATTTGATTGCACATTCACAACAGCCCAAGAAGGGCAAGACGCTAAACCAGCAACACAACCGTGAAGAGATTTTAGTCAATTTGGTGTACAGTTCATTGAGCTGCAAGAAGACAACCTCTACTTTGCTACCCTAATATGGGGATAAAAGAAAAATAAGCTTTTAAGGGATGAATTTACAAAATTTTGGCCCACAGTTTGTTTAAAAATCAGTAATATAAAAAACTGTACTCACAGCCAATAGCCAGGTAACGGAAAAACAGCCACCCACTGATCAGCGGTTCTTTTGGGTTCCGAGGTGGCTTACTCATGATGTCCAGATCAGGAGGGTTGAACCCCAGTGCAGTGGCAGGCAGGCCATCTGTCACCAGATTGACCCAGAGCAGCTGGACAGGAATTAAAGCCTCAGGAAATCCAAGGGCTGCTGTCAGGAAAATACTGTTTCCACCCAGGGAAAGAAGATAAAGACCCCAAATGATTTTTGGCCGCTACTTAAATAGCATTACCACCTTCCCACCATGAAATCAATGACTTGAAATAACTTTTGGTGATCATAAAACATTTACACCCAGTTCTGAATTAAAGTTAACTTTTAGAAGGCCAAGAATTTTATGTGACTTTATCTGGTTAATTTAAACTCATTTCTCCATGAAAGAGGATTCTCTGCACATTGGGGCTGCCGCAGACAACCCTCCTTGGGGTCCAAGTACCATTTACCTTCATGAGGAATTCCTGTGTCTTGTCCACCCCACCCTCCCAAGCTGTTGCAGTACGGAGAGAGCAAACTGGGAAAACTGGCCACCACCGCCCGCAGTTTCAGACAGGAACATAAGCGATGCTGTCAGAGACCCACCAGACAACTTCCCCCACATTAGACGAGATGAGGTAGCGGATGAACTGCTTCATGTTGTTGTATATCGCCCGCCCCTCCTCGACAGCAGCCACGATGGTGGAGAAGTTGTCATCTGCCAGGACCATCTCGGAGGCAGTTTTAGCCACTGCAGTGCCAGAGCCCATAGCAATGCCAATCTCGGCTTTCTTCAGAGCAGGAGCATCATTCACACCGTCGCCGGTCTGAAAAGGAAAGCGAAGGTTGGTTTGGACAACTCCACATAACACTCACACTCCTGAGCAAAGGCTCACTGAATGGGAAGCAGAAGGAAAGCAAATAGGACTGCAGGACTCTTGGTGAAGCGTTACAGTAGAATTTGTTTTATAATTTGGTGTCATAAAACACATTTTACCTAGGAAATGCAAAACTGCCAAATGATCTTACCGAAAAGACTTCAGAGGGAAGTGGAACACGCGGAACTTCAAATTTATCTGAATTTTGTTTATATTTTACCAAAATCAAAAATACAACTTAGATAGCAGTTAGAGTGAAGTACTTGTATCCAACATGGATAAATCTCAAGTAGAAAAAGGTACAGACTGCTAAAATATGTAACCTATGAAGTTCAAAAATATGAAAAAATAGTAAATATTGCCTACAGATAAAAACATACATGGGAATAATACATTTGTAACACTTTGACTAAATTCCAACTTCAGGATGGTGGTTACCTCTGGGAGACAGGGAAGAGGGAGGAGGAGGAGAAAGGGAGGAGAGAACACCTGTAATATCTTTAAAACAAAATTTTACAGATAGAAAAAGCAAAACACAATGTTAACATATCTGGGTGAAGAAAATCAGACAAGGGGAGTAATACGGACAATGCTTCATAAACATCTAGCTCTTAAAGAACACATCACCAGAACATGTAACTTAAAGAAGGATTATCCAAACACTGGTGATAGACCACTGACAGATTACATCCTGAACCAACTTTTAGAAAACTTAAGATACAAACATGTCTACTTTCACCAAGACAAAGACTAGATATCACCAAAAAGCTCCTCTGTGACTGACTTAGAAGGCCCTTCTAGGTCTGAAACCAGTCTAGGATCTTCTCTACAAGTTGTATACAGCATGCCAACTACTGATAAACACAATTCTAGACAAATAGCCCAGATCATCACAAAAGAAGTTCCAAATTGGGAAGGAGCTACTAAAAATTCAATGGTCAAAATTAGAATCCGTTGTGTTTGTATCGTCTGAATCACCTGGGTATGTCCAAACATACTCACCATAGCTGTAATCTCATCAAAAGACTGAAGAAATTCTACGATTTTAGACTTGTGGGAAGGTTCAACTCGAGCAAAACAGCGGGCATTCAAGCAGGCATCTCTCTGGGCTGAGGGGTTGAGTTCATCAAACTCCCGACCTGTAAAAGCCTTTGACGTCACGTCCTCATCCTGCCCGAAGATGCCGATACGGCGGCAGATGGCCACGGCAGTGCCCTTGTTGTCCCCCGTGATCATGATGACACGGATGCCTGCCTGGCGGCACAGCTTCACAGAAGAGGCCACCTCAATCCTTGGGGGGTCCAGCATGCCCACACAGCCGACAAACGTCAGATTGGTCTAAAGTAAGAGGATCGCTTTAAGTTAAAGCAGAAAATTGTTTTTTCCTCTAGTTTGAAAAATGGTCAGTCATATATTATAAGGAAAGGTTTCTTGTAATTTTCTTATTAGGGAAAGAAAGTCATTACACCTTTGTTACCAAATCATTCTTTGACTCTCAAAACAATAACATTCTGAAACAGGGAAAAACACACTGAGGAGTTAAGCACATCACGACACTGGCCACCTCAGTGGCTCACAGTACCAAGGCTTATTCCTTCTGTTCAAAGCTTTAGGATGAAAGAATTTTACTCTAGGTAGCAAAGTGGAAGGAATCTCCAATTTAGACACTTTAACCTTCAATAACTAATGAATAGTCTAAAAATATTCCTAGTTTTTAGAAAATCTTAATTTACATGAGTTGAAAAATGGGTTTTACAAGCTTACTTAAACTCATCTTGATTATTCTACTTTGAAAGTAAGAAACTTCTATTAAATTGTTAACTACATATGTTTGAAGCAGCAACCTAATTTTAAGAGTGACGCATTTGGCCTGCAGAAAAACAAATAACCACACCTCTTTCTTGGCAAAAGCAAGAACATTTGACCTTTCTATTGGAAGAAGTACTGTTTCAACACAATGAAACACGCAGGGTGTGGATGAAGAAACTTTTCACTTGCTAACCTCATATTTAATAAAGTTGGCAGAGTCCTCAAGGTGCATCTCTTCTCTTCTCAGCGGGTTGTCGTGAGTGGCCAGGGCCAGGCATCGTAGTGTGTCGCTGCCGCTACCCCACTCCCGAATGACAGACATGATCTTCTGTTTGACTCCTGGGGTCAGAGGGACCTTGGTACTTCCAACTCGAACATGGGTGCACCTGTCAATGACACCTTCAGGAGCACCCTGGAATGGTACAAATTTAGATAAATTTTATTCATCGGCTCACAAGGACCCTAGTAAGAACATCTCAGTTTGCTGTACTTGCCTTCACAAACATCTTGCTCATTGATGTCCTGCTTGGTTTGTTTGGTGTACAGTAAACCGACATTGATTTTCTATCACGTGAAAACTCTAGAGTAAATTCCTTTTTCATCAGCTGTTTTATGACCTATAAAGAAAATGTGGCATATTACTGGGTGACAACTTCTACACGTCTTTCACTTTTTCGACAAATATTCACTGAGCACCTGTTACGTGATAGACACTGGAAATTACAGCAATAAACAAAACAAGTTTTGCCCTCACGAAACCTGTCCTCTAGTTTCTCAAAGAGTAGGATGCAGAAGTTAAAATAAAAGTGCTGTGGAGAAGAGGATGAGGCAGGGACATTTGGGTACGTACAGATTGCGTTGTTTAATATAAAGTGGTCAGAAGGCTGCACCACTTGAGTAAAATCCTGAAAGATGTGTCAATGTGGCCCATTAGGCAGAGACAGAAGGGCAGCCTGGCACGCGTCCTGGCATGCTGAAGAAGTGTCAGCGTGCCTGCAACGTTGTTTGTAAGAGAAAAAGGTGAGACAGGTAGAGCTGAGGGAGGTGGAGGCAGGTTGTAGGATCTCAAGTCATTGTGGGGCATTTGGCTTTTTTAACAAGTGAAATGAGAAGACAGTGGAGGGTTTCAGGCTCTGTTGTGTTAACAGGCAGAAGGGAGACAAGCAACACTATTTATGTGACGATGCAACTTGGACGAGGGTGGTGGCACTGTAGGAGAGGTCAGTCCAAAGCAGTCCTGTCCATCATAACTCTGCAACGATGGCAATGCTCTGTGGCCACCATTCATGTAGCGATCATACATGGCCACTGAGCACTTGAAATGAATGTCACCGGGGCACTTAAAGAATGGTTTTTAAGTATTCTAAATAGCTTTCGGTAGCTGGTGGCTACTGTATTAGACTTTTAGCACCTTGATCGTACGGTATTTAAAGTTTGAGACCAGAAATCATGGGAGTAACTGCAGACAAAAACAGCTGAGGGCAAGGCCTGGGGCCTCCATGTCCCAGAGCCAGTGGAAGATCCAGCCAAGGAGACCTTGAAGGAGTAGAGGTCAGGGAGGGAAAACAAGCATGGGGTTGTGGATGCCAACTGAAGGGGTGTTTCACAGAGGAGTGAGCAACACCACCATCCAATAGGTCAGGTCAGACGAGGAGTGAGAATTAACCTATAGCTTTTGACTCTGTTACCTACAAATAGAGATACTCCTTTCCTTTGCCATTTTTATATTTTTCTTGCCTATTGTACAGGATAGGACCGCCAGTACAATACTGAGTAGAAACGCTGGGTGGGAATGATCAGTAAGTACAACAGTGCAGGCTGTGTGTAGACAGTGTTAGCTTGAAGACATGCCCTTCTATTCCTAGTCTGATGTGGCAGAGATGGAATTTTATCATAGTCCTTTTCTGTACCTACTGAGATGATCTTATGGGTTTCCACCTTTATCTGGTTAATGTGGTGAATTACTTACATTGATTTACTCACTCAAACACACACTTAATTGTCAAAGTCCCAAAGAATCTTGACATCCAACCTAGGAAACTGCAGTACGCTGAGCTGCTTGACTGGGCTTGACATACTGAGGCCACCCTGTCAGCCACGGAGCTGCCTCAGGCGCAGAGGAGCAGGGGTCTCAGTGCTGTGCTGAGTTGTGCAGCATCCGAATCAAACGTCCTTACATGTCTCTAATCAAGTGTTTGTACCAAAGGAACATGTACTGCATAATGTGGACCTACATGGGCAAGATGTCCTTTGGGGAGAGAACAGTGCCTTTCTTCCAGCCCTAGGCTGGCCGAGTGGTTGTCCTATCCACATGGGCCACAGGACTAAAACGCTGGTCCCTGCTCCCTCTCAATGACGATAGGTTCTTGCTCTGAGGTGGGGAGGGGAGGCCATGAGTTTGGGACTCTCAGTGAATGAGCATCATGGCACTTCTGATCCCCTTGCCTCATCTGGCAGACGAGAAGATGGATTTCTCCGTGCTAGTCACCAGTTAATGCACCACTTTTGAGCCCCACGATGCTACTTGTTTCCCTTCACTGAGCAGGTAGGTACAGCTACAGGTTTAAAATCCAGCAAATCTAACCCTCAGACTGTGAAGCTGAGATTTCAGGTTGCCTCTGAGATACTAAGTTACACCCACTAACAGAGATGACAGACAATGTGGCTTCACCTCCTTGCTTGCTGTCTATCAGGGAGTGAACAGTCTAAAACTGAGGCAAGGGCCTATTCCATGGAAGCCACAGGAGCAGCCCGAGGCCTTCATGGCTTTGAGACTGCTATTTGTGAATCCCAGAATCTATATTTCAGCTGAGACATCACCAATTCTGGTGTGAGTTTTGTTTTCTCAGGACATTATAAAGGCAAAATGGTGTAAAGAAAAAGGGTGTGGCCGGGCACAGTGGCTCATGCCTATAATAACACTCTGGGAGGCCGAGATGGGAAGACTGCTTCAGCTAAGGAGTTCGAGACCAGTCTGAGCAAGAGCGAGACCCCACCTCTACTAAAAATAGAAAAATTAGCTGGGCACTGTGGTACACAACTATAGTCCCAGCTCCTCAGGAGGCTAAGGCAGAAGGATCACTTGAGCCCAGGAGTTTGAGGCTGCAGTGAGCTATCATGATGCTGCTGCACTCTACCCAGGATGACAGAGTCAAACTGTCTTAAAAAAAGAAAAAAGGAAAGAAAGGGTGTGGAGTGGGAGTGTAGTCTACCACACACAAATCAAGGAAGGCTTGGTGTCCCTTCCTGCAAATCAGACAGGATGATCTTAAAGTTCTTTTCACAGCCTGACATGTTGCGAGGTCACTGAAGTGCTTGAATCTCTGAGGTCCTTAAGAATATGAGTGTGCTCCCTCCCCCAGCTTAGGCTGCACTTGTTCAGTGGTGTGGCCTCCTAATCTGCCCTGGTTATCCAGGGAGGAATGAAAAGAGTTTGTGACACACACAATAAATGCAGTGACGGCTGACCATTCAGTAGAAGTGAGCCTTGCCTTTACACAGCTTTATATAACTAGAAACAGCTCAGTTTTTCTCTCCCCTCCCTCAAAGCTGTTCCTTCAGGCATGCAGTAACTGTCTTTTCCCCCTCCCATTTCTCTTTATTCCACCAGGGAACACTAAGTTACTAAGAAATTCTACAAAGAGGCCTCAAATACCTATCAGCAGCCACCCGGTTGTAACAGGCAGGTAGGTGGTTCTGTCCAGAAGAGCCCAATTCCATAGGAACGTGAGCTCCAGGGCTGAGAGGCATTGAGGACGAACTCTCTGTTGGCAACTGGTCTGGAGAATCCACTAGAGGGTCTCATGGCTGTGCAGACCCTAGACTGCAGGTAGGGGGTATTCACATTGGTGTAGTGTAGGGGGTTCCGGGGCAGCAACAGCTCTGTGGCCCAACAATCAATCAACCTCTCTGCCACACAGAAAAGCAGCAGCTGCTTGGGCTGGGTGTGTTTCTCGGGTGGTGGCTTCTGATAGCCAGATAAGACTCTGTGGCCTGACTTGTATCCTTAAGTTTCTCCTGTTCCTCGGCTGCTTTGAGGGCAGCGCACTCCTTCCTCCAACACATGTTCTCTGGCTTCTGCAGTTCCCATTCCTGAGCTTCCACAGCTTGCTTCTTAGCCTCAGGCCACTTCTCTCCCACTCCCCTTGCCGCTTACACTCCTGGTTGACCCACGAAGCCCTCACGTGTGCTATCTCATCTGCCCACTTATCATCCAAGTAATAACCCACCACTTGGCATTATTCAAATCCAGCAGCTTCAGGTTCTTAAACCGAGCAAAGTGACAGGCAGAGTGACCAGTCTGTTGTTGAAGAGATCCAGGTACTGGAGGCCAAACAGATGGCTAGTGTCTGCCAGCAGCTGTTGCACACTGTTTTCACTCAGGTCTAGCCTCATCTGGCTTGTGAGGCCACAGAAATCTAAGGATAGTGTTGCAGGACAGATCAAGTATAGTGGTCTTGCAGGGGAGGGGTGAGACCCTGTTTCTTGGTAGGAACCTCATCCAGGTTGCTGAGGCTCAGGTCCAACTCTGGAGGCTCCTACCATTGCCACTGGCCTTGCCACAGTGATGCTGGCTGATTGAGCCCTTCCTCAAAGGCTCTGAGAGGCGAGAAGGAAAGGGGCTCAGAGGCCACTCATCTGGTTTGGTAGATTCCGGGAGAATGCCTGTGCCCTCCACCTCTGCCACCACATCGACTGACTTTTGGTATTAGGGTTATGCTGGCCTCATCAAATGAGTTGATAAATGCTTCAATTTTCCTCTTCTTCCTATTATCTAAGTCTGTATAAACGGGTATTATTTCTTCCTTAAATGTTTGGCAGAATTGGGCTTCGTAAATTTTTGTGTGGGAGGAGTTTAACAGATTCATCAAAAGTTGGTTACTGAAGGGATTTGTCAATTTTTCCTAAGTTGTCAAATTTATTGGTATGAAGTTGCTCATAAACGGTTTCTGATCCCATTACTTTCTTTTTGCTACTTTCTTCAGATGGGAGCTTGTATTATTGATTTTTAACCTTTTCTAATACATGCACTTAAAGTTGTTAATTTCCCTTTATTGATGTTTCTGCATAATATGGTATTTTCAATATTTAGTTCAAAATATTTTATACTTTCCACCACAGTTTTTCTTTTTTGATCCATGGACTATTTAAAACAATACCTTCCAAATATGTGGAGAATTTGCTAGTTCTCTTTTTGTTATTAATAGTTTAATTCCACTGTGGTCAACAACAGTCTATATGATTTCAATCCTTTGCCATTTGTTGAGACTTGCTTCATGGACCAGCAAAATGTTCTACGCTGGTGAATGCATTTGAAAAGCACAGTAAATAGCATAACAGAAATACAAATGTTGAGTATATACTTACTGTGTGGTTCAAATCTTTTGTATTGTTACTGATTTTTTCATCTTATTAAGACTGATTACTGAGATGGGTGTATTAAACTCTGCAACTTGTCTATTTTTTATTTCTGCCAATTTTTGCTTTGTATACTTTAATGAGCTGACTATTGGGTTTAGTACAAGGTCATAGATGACTCTGACAAGAGGTTTTGATAGACTGGTAGAGGCAAGAGCTTGACTGGAGAAGATTCAGGAAAAGAAAGAAGTGTGGAGGCTGAAAGCAGAAATAAGGTCAAAAGAAAATTTTAAGATAGGAACAGCGCAGGGTAGAGATGGCTTGTGCTAGAAGCAAGGACAGTCCATTCACAGCAACCAGGGGAGAAGGCAGCCTCATGGGTATAGATGGTGGTCATGGAAATTATCTATTGAGTGCTTTTACTTTCTTGGTCAAACAGATATCAAGATCATTTTACCTGAGAGTGAATATAGGGAAGGAGATATTCCAAGTTTGAGGAGATAAGGCATAATTACTTTTCTAAGAGGACAGGAGAGTACATGGACTAAGTATATACGACATGACTAATGGACAGCACAAACCATATACCAAGCTCAAACACTGACCGAGTTGCAGGCATTTGCACGTTCTATTTTAGAAAGACCCTTCAATTCGGTATCAAATACATTCATCTTCTCTACCAGGCAAGTTAGAGCAGTCTCTGTAGCTTCTCCAACTTTTTCATACACACCCTTTGCCTGTATTGGGTAAAAGCACAGAAAGTGGAATAAGGGAAAAGTAAACAGGTAATTTTCTCTTTAACATTTTTTCCCAAAGAAAGACAAGCTGTCCTCAATTACACCATCATTCTATGGGCCAATTTACACCCTATTCTGGAGCAGATGACCCTGAAAGTACAGGTGCGCATGTTGTCTTATTCTAATAATTAGGTTCTTCGATTCCCTTAAGTATAAGAAGCCACTGACCACAGTACTTATTAATTCAAAGAGAGCTTTCAAATAGTATTTGTAATTCCACATCACTGCTTATTGTTCCACAGATAGAGTTACCTATCTACTGTAGATATCTATCTATAGATAGAGTTAACATTCTATCTCTGACAGGGTATGGGACTTGTCTTTGTGGTAGAAACCAAGTAATTTACCTCACTAATTACAAAGAAGGGGGAAAAAACGTTTTCTGTTGGTTAAGTTTTATGTTGTTATTTTATCGTCATCATCATCAAAACAATCCTCTAAGCTATAGCCTGTCCTCAAGGATAGAATGTTATTCCATCTTAAGCAAGATTAATCCCCTATGCTTTCAGGTAAACATTTTCTATCCTAGGTTTTGTTCGTTTAGAGTAACCGGTCATGCTATAATAGGCAAGAACATCATATACACTACAACTCTTAGTTACATAACTACAGTGCTCAGTCACAGACGACATATGAAAGGCTCTCAGCTTTCTTTGGCTAGGTCATGCTGACCTGATACAGGCTCCTGAATAGAAAGGGGAAATAAAATCAGGAACCCTTAACTTTTGTAAGGGAGGAAGAAGGCTGGACTTTCATTCCACCTACTCCACCCTTGGACAAGGAACAACCATTTCTTCTCATTTACGAAGAGCCTTACCTCATTGTAATCCAAGGCAGAGTCATTACAAAGAGCACAAATTGTTGCCAATTCTACAAGCCCATCATACTGGTGACAGTTTACTGGCTTATCATCTTTATGCCTGTCAAAAGAGAAAACATTCTTAGAGCAAAGTATAGTCATCTCTTTGGTTTTTTCCCCAATTATTTAATAATGAAAATGGAATTCAGGGGACAATAGACTGGAAAGTGTTCAAAAGAATTTGTGTGATGGCTACTCAAAATCTGATGCTGGAGCTAGTATCAGACAAAAATAAAACAGAAAATGCATTTCTCTCAGGAACTAATCAGTAAAAGACCAGAAATCCTTAGTCACTGAAATTCCTCCACCACTGGTATCAGTAAAGAACAAACAGAAACCCTTGAAAACCTGGGCTCTAACAGGGAGCTAATAGATGATTGGCTTATAACCTTTCTCTTTCAAAGTTTTTGTTTAAAAGAAAAACAATGGACTACTATAGTAAGTATTGACTTGAGCCACATTCAGAAAACTGTCTAAACTTTTAAAATAAACTACAAATCTATACAAATACTAAACTGCCACACTGGATCCTTAAATAAGGAGGGTTACTCACACTTCTCCAATAGGTGCATATGTTGATCCAGTTATGGTAAACTCATTAAGGGAACAAGTATCACCTTCAACTCTGTCCAGAATGAACATCTATAGGGGAAAATGCATAATAGTATTTAGGAAAAATAATAGTATTTAGAAAACAATTCTTTTTGGTATTTAAAATATATTTTAATGAAAACACTTTCTCACCATCTTTAAAGAAAAACAATTTGCATTTTTTGATCTAAAGCCTTTCTGGTCATTAGGACTTACTTTCTGCTCTACAGGTTTCAGATACCCCTGCACTAACTCCCTAGTGCTCTTGAGGCATGAATTAGACATGTCCTACTGCTGTTAGTCCTTGTGGTATAACTTCAGGGGCTTGATTCTTATCTGTTACAAATAAAACTCCACAGCTTTTGTCAGTCCACGGTCTACCCAAGGGCCTCTAAACTACTGAGCGCAAAACTCCTGCCGTAAATGTACTGACTGTCCCCTTTAGAGGCAGTGCCCAATCATGTTCAGCCTGAACTTTCCCATCGAGGGGTAGTTGAGCAGAGGAAGAACTCAAGAAAACCACTTTAATAAAACTCATTGAAGCCCAGAATCCGAAGTATTATCTTTTATTCTGACCAGCTGTCATACTGCTGAATCAAGAATGAGCAGTGGCACCAAAGACACAGATGACAACCTGCTTGAAACCCAAGTGTTGAAGACTCTGGGTCAGCAAAAGGTCAATTCCAAAGACAGATTATTTTATAGAATGATCAGAACTATAAATTTCAAATGGATGGCTGAGGAAGGGATGTTAGGAAGTCCTTAGAGATAAGCATAAAAGCTTGGGAAGAACAAACTCACATTTTAGAGTCGCATAAACATTCCCTGAGTAAAATGAGACAAACTGCTTCTCTGATCCTTCCCACTTATTTTTGTGGCAATAGCTCATTTTCTATGAAGCTGCATAACTACATGTATACAGTAAGGAGCTTGCGGAGCTGAATGAACTGATGTTCCCTAGACAATACAGGATACAAGCATGCTTAGGAAAGAACTTCTAATTTTACAGAAGAATAAAATGACATGAGCTACTTTCTTAAAGATGTTTTTCCCCCCTTTGGTTTGCTTTCACAAATTATAATTCAGAAGCCCAGTTTGGAAGAGTAAGATTTAGACTTGTAGTTATGACTGAGGATGGAAACGTGTAAAACCTCTCATTAAAAAAACGAAAAACGTAACACTCAAACAAAAAAAATGAAAAGTGATCTGAGTTATACTTTTTTTTTTTTGAGACAGAGTCTCACTGTGTTGCCTGGGCTAGAGTGCCGTGGCGTCATCCTAGCTCACAGCAACCTCAAACTCCTGGGCTCAAGCAATCCTCCTGCCTCAGCCTCCCGAGTAGCTGGGACTACAGGCATGCGCCACCATGCCCAGCTAATTTTTTTCTATATATTTTTAGTTGTCCAATTAATTTCTTTCTGTTTTTAGTAGAGACGAGGTCTCGCTCTTGCTCAGGCTGGTTTCGAACTCCTGAGCTCCAACAATCGGCCCGCCTCGGCCTCCTAGAGAGCTAGGATTACAGGCGTGAGCCACCGCACCCGGCCCTGAGTTATACTTTTGAGTGCCAAAATCTCTCTGAAATATGAGCAATATGATCAAACCATTTCTCCAAGAAGGAATTTTGAAAATGTAAATTAAAGTCAAAAAGGCCATACTATACTTTTAAAAACGTCATCTCAGCAATTCAGCTCACATTCAGTAAGAAAATCAGCTAATCTTTATTTTAAAATAACCTCTTTTGTCTCAATATTTGTTTGTTATATAGCAACTACTTTTAAATTTAAACGCATACTCAGAACTAAATCAATCTTGGAACAGAACTAAAAAGCTATGAGTGAGACATTATAAGATGGTTTTTTAAAGAATAAACTAAAAACAGTGTCGACTCTTGACAAAAGATTCTAGTTCAAATACTGTTTGTCAAATGAGGAAAAGATTTGTGACCAACAGCAAGACTCCAACTTCTACAATTTCTTCCCAACAGATACAATACCTAAAAAATCAAGTTTGTCAAAAAGCGGAAGAGAGGGGACCAGGTTTAACTACCAATCTTTCCTATAAGAAAATCCAACTTTACCTTTTATGAAAACCTATGTGACCCTCAAACATGTCACTTCTCAGAGTCTCAGTTTTCTAACCTCTTGAGCAGGACTGCCATATGATTTAAAGTCACATGGGAAACAAATTAACTGCACTACGAAATATCAAAGCAAGCTGGTATCATTATTACATACCATGCTTTTTCTTTTTTTTTTTTTTTTTTTTGAGACAGAGTCTCACTCTGTTGCCCTGACTAGAGTGCCATGGCATCAGCCTAGCTCACAGCAACCTCAAACTCCTCGGCTCAAGTGATCCTACTGCCTCGGCCTCCCGAGTAGCTGGGACTACAGGCATGCGCCACCATGCCCGGCTAATTTTTTTTTATGTGTGTATTTTTAGTTGTCCAGCTAATTTCTTTCTATTTTTAGTAGAGACGGGGTCTCGCTCTTGCTCAGGCTGGTCTCGAACTCCTGAGCTCAAACGATCCTCCCTCCTCAGCCTCGCAGAGTGCTAGGATTACAGGCGTGAGCCACCACGCCCGGCCCATGCTATTTCTTTATTGATACTATATTTATGAATGTGAAATTCTTTGGGTCTATACCAAAGTCTAAAATATTCTAGAAGACATTGAGGATTCAAATCCACATTAGCTAAACCTAAATGTGCTTGGGCATTTTAGATTGTGAGCAAGTCAACCATTTAGGATCTGCAGGATGAAGATCTTCCTGTCAAGGGCAGTTATGCAATACCACTGCAGGAAACCTCCGGTGGAATACCAATTAGCATCAGCTTTCTACTGTGAAGTGAAACACTTGGAACGCCTAGGCGGGCTTTTTCTTCACTATAAGAAAATACTTAAATCCAGCCATTCAAAGGAGAATAAAAGAATACAAGAACAAAAAAAAATTTTATAATGAACTAAGAAATGGAAATTTTAAAAAAGATTACAATTTCGCATACTACCACTGTTTGCTTTGATGGACGTAACGATTATTCTGAAGAATTAAAGCTTTCAGGCCAAGTTTAAATAATTTACTGGCGGGAAACTAAATAAACATGAAATTCCCTTTCTCTTCCTTAAAAAACCAGTATGACAAAACTAGCTTTTAGCCAATTTGTCCAACCTTTTGGTTCCAAGGAGTGAGAACTTAGGTAAGTCAAGTCAAATATTTCATCTCCTGGAGAAACCTGAGACAAACCTAGAAGCTTACCAACTTGAGAGGTGTAACACCCCAATTTGTCTTAAACACCTGTCCATCAAATCTAAATCTGGGTTTGGACTTCACTAGTAGTTTGGAGGGAATGGAGTCTGTATCCACAAATCATCACGAACTTAAAATTGGCAAGATAAAGAAAGATTCATAGGGTTTAACTGATTAAAACAGAAACAATTTCCAATGCTAAAAAAAATTATCTAAAACCTGGCAATAAGGCCAGGAGGGCTGACTGTATCCTTTCAGTGTCATACAGAAATATTACTTGACAGGCCCACTCCAGGAAAATATAACAGTGTGCTATTTACTAATAAGGGCTCATTTCATGTGAAGTTGATTTGTGTCCTGCAGAATAACTGTAATTTTATTTCCCAAGTAGGACATTAACCAGCTTTATAAACTAATTTAGCAATCCTAATATTCAACACTTCCTCAAATGTTCTTATAACCAGTTTTATAGATTCCCTCGATAATGAGCTGAATACAATCTATCCATTCTACATTTACGTGAGTCATGTGTGCCTTATGGAAAACTATACTTTGACTTGTACCAAGTTGTTTAAGTAAAACCTAGGGAAACTGATTTACACAAAAAGAACTTAATTCAGTTGTATCACTATTATTTCTTCAGTTCTTATTTTTCTAAAGCTAGGTTTAAAAGTTTTTTTATTTTACTAAATGGTGGTCAAACGATAACAGGAAGGATGAACACATAGAATGAAGCAAATTAAAAGCAATTACAGTTGGCCTTCTGTATCTGTGGAGTCAACCAAACCTCGGATGGAAAAAAGCTGTGTCTGCACAGAACACGTATAGACTTTCTCCTTGTTATTATTCCCTAAACAATACAGTAATGTAACAACTATTTACACAGTATTTATACCATGAGATATTATAAGTAATCTAGAGATGATTTAAAGCATATGGGAGGATACACACAGGTCATATTGCTTTTTATATCAGGAACTTGAGCATTTGCAGATTTTGGTATCTGAGGGAGGTCCTGGAACCAATCCCTCACTGATACTGAGGGACAACTGTATTTACTTTTCAGAAAGAAAGTATGCTTCATTCAACATGTTATAGAAACACCAATTAGGATGATAGGTAGGGAGGTTAACTAGCAGCTTCCTCTAGAAATTGTCTGTTAACATACATACACGGTGAGACAGAGGAGCAGAAGAGTAGAAAAGGAAGCATAGTCATGACATATGTACAGAATGCCTCTAGTTCGCTCCCTAACACAAGTAGATCAGCTGTGTAGATATCCTATACTTCATGAAATAGTTTTCAGAATTTAAATGATTAATTTCTCTGAAATACTAGAAATTGAGCTCAGGCTATACATACAACCCACAGAAGGGTATCATATTTACAAATCAAAGGTTTTCAGGGCATGAGGGCATATTGGTTGGATAAACAAAGAACAACCACAGGAAAGATTTTCCCTCTTACCCTGCAGACTGACATCTGGTTTGTTGTAAGTGTACCAGTCTTGTCTGAGCAGATAACAGAAGTACAACCGAGGGTTTCCACAGAAGGGAGGCTTCGAACAATGGCATTCTTCTTTGCCATTCTGCGAGTTCCAAGAGCCAGGCAGGTGGTGATAACAGCAGGCAGACCTTCAGGAATGGCTGCTACAGCCAACGCCACTGCAATTTTAAAGTAGTAAATAGCACCTCTGATCCAGGAGCCTCCGTGAACTGGGTCATTGAAGTGCCCAATGTTTATGATCCAGACGGCAATGCAAATAAGGGATATGACTTTGGAAAGCTGTTCCCCAAACTCATCTAGTTTCTGCTGAAGAGGTGTTCTCTCCTGTTCTGTTGCCACCATTTCATCCCGGATCTTGCCAATTTCAGTGTTAACTCCAGTTGCCACTACCACTCCCATAGCTTTCCCAGCCGCAATGTTTGTACCCTAGGACAGAAAGTAGAGAATTGGTCACTAGATTAACAGCACATCCCTACTTAAATACTGACACTGGGTTTTGACCAGGGCACTCAGATTCCCTCACCACATACATTCTACTAGACCCTTCCAGCAGCTACTTACTGTTCAGGCAACCAGCCAGGCAACTGTGATAACAAGCAATACCTCATGCAGGCAGTGTGGTACATTTCTCCCCAATTTTGATTCCATGGAGTACCTACTTAACCCAGAGCAGCTTTATACTGACCGACCTGGATCTCTATTCACAACACTGAGCCTGGCTCACAGACCAGCTGCAATCCCAATCTTTCAAACTCCATACAGCCTCAACCCTAAGCACTCTCTACCTCTGGCTCCAAAAGCTCAGCCTTCCCTACTTTTGTCAGCTGTAAGAAGGGTGATCAGCCCCATGGGCTATTTTGAGCACCTCTACTCAAGCACCAGCATTCCCAATCAATGAAATCAAGTTTGAGTGTTCTCTTCCCACCCCACTTTAATTCCTTATGTTGGAAGGATATGGCTTCATTATTTTTATTGTTCCTCTATTTACTTACTATAGGTAGTTAGGCTCTCATACCAACCCACAAAAGCCCACAACTTGAAAATCATCCTAGATTCCAAACAACCAAAATCCATGCATTACACCATTATTCAAAAAATTTTTCAAATCAACAGAAAAAGTGAAACAGTACAATGAACATCCATATATTTTTCACCTAGACTCACCATTATTAATGTTTTGCCACATTTGCTTTCTCTAACAGATATCTTTTTATTGTGAACTACATATCCACATCATCCTTTACAGGCTAAGGCTTTTCTAAACAAATCTACTTTTCAACTATGTTTATAGAGTTTAAAGATGTTTGACCTCATCATTTTTTTTAACGCTCAAAACCAAAAACATCTAAGTCACATATTCCACCATTACATGTTATTTATGTTGTTTTTTTTTTTTTTTTGAGTCAGAGTCTCACTCTGTTGCCCGGGCTGGAGTGCCGTGGCGTCATCCTAGCTCACAGCAACCTCAAACTCCTGGGCTCAAGGGATCCTCCTGCCTCAGCCTCCCGAGTAGCTGGGACTACAGGCATGCGCCACCATGCCCGGCTAATATTTTCTATATACTTTTAGTTGTCCAATTAATTTCTTTCTATTTTTAGTAGAGACGGGGTCTCGCTCTTGCTCAGGCTGGTCTCGAACTCCTGAGCTCAAACAATCCGCCCGCCTCGGCCTCGCAGAGTGCTAGGATTACAGGCGTGAGCCACCGCGCCCGGCCCATTATTTATGTTTTCTGACAGACTGACCATGAAGAGTATGAATTATTCTTTGCAATAACATCCAATACTTTCTAAAGTCTTCCCACTGAAGGTAGGCAGTGAAAAACATAAAATCTGGGGACCATTAAAACTGTGGGAATGCATACAAATAAAAATACATCTGAGCTAGGCACAGTGACATGTGCCTATAATCCCAGCTACTTGGAAGGCTGAGGCAGGACTATCACTTGAGCCCAGGAGTTTGAGGCCAGCCTGGCATAGTGTAAACGTGTCTCTTGAAAAAAAGATAATAAAACAAGTTTGATAAAGTACTTACAGAAAAGAGCATGTTCTTCTTATCTTGGTTGACAGCCCGTGGGTCAGGGACAGGGTCAGTGTGCTTGATGACAGAGACAGATTCACCTAAGCAGGTTGTGAAACAGAAGGGATGGTTAGATCTGTGTGATCCTCACCTAGAACCTAGAATCCCTCATCCATGCCAACCCATTACCACTCTCAGGATATTTTCAGTATGGGAAAATGGACAAAGGCCCAATTACCTAGTTTCCACAAAGGAGGTAAACTAGAAAAATTTAATAATGGAAATTAAGTACAAAGAATGTCAGGATTAAAAATCGATCAATTTCAAAATAAAAACTAAAATTTTCAAGTGAAACCCTAGTCAACTATCTTTATTTTCTGGAGTAACTATTCAAATTAATTTATTTTCTGCTATCATTTTACACTCTGATACTATGAATATATATTTACATACATCTGTTGTGTACTTATGAGGATGATCCACCAGGAAACCTGTTTTGTTCAATAATGCCAAAGACTAGAAAGCACTGTGTCAGAAATGTCTGCATGCACTAATCAGACCACTCTGCTTCAATGAAGCGAAATTTTAAATAAGCAATTAGTAACTGCACTAAAAGGATCACATGGTATAAAGAACTACTTTTGAGAACTTTTAAAACATCCTGTTGAATTTAGTTTCAATTTTTATGTCACTTAAGAGGTATATTATCAGGGTCAATCTGTAAAGTGAAATATGTCTGCAAGTGTTAATTTAGGTAGCAAACTTCACTCTCAGTATTTGACCAAAAAACTTGGTTCTTCAATTTAGCCTAAAACTACAGTATGATTAATTTTTAAAAGATATGGACATTCAAGAAACTCATAAAATTTTAAAATAGAATTTATTTTTGTAGGCACACCATAAGAATTTCATATATATAACCCCATCACTTCCCCAACATTTTATGGCTTAATTGGCTTTCAGCTTGTTGCTAATGAGAGTTTTAATAGATAAGCTATTCATAAAGAAATAATTAAAAAGTACAGAGCCCAGGTTATTCATATCATTATCTCCATGACATTAGTTGCTTTTCAAAACTGATAATCAGATAAAGCCTTTAGGTTTTACATTTACTCATTATTTAATCTAGGTTAGCATTGTATTTATTGTTAATCTTCTGACAACCTTACTTCCAGTTACTATGAACCCTCCACCCTAGCCTGAGCCTTTATCACACAAAATGGGAAAATGTTCCAAACAATTCAAAATCTAAGTGTGCACAAACTCCAGGTAGTAAAACATTCACCTCTTAGGGGAATTAACTTTTGTTAATTGTACATTTGATTATTGTAAAGTACAATAGCTGCAAGATTAACATTCCTCCAATGAAAAAAATTACAGCACTGGAATCTATTTTTCTGCCTGGAAAAAAAAACACCAAATAAGTAATTCACTTTCCACAAAACAGAAGGACAACACTTCAACCTTAAGACTATTACCTCTGCTAATGAAGGAATTTGTAACCTTTTTAAAACTATAAAAACATAATGATTTTATTTTAAAATAAAAACTATAATGTTTTCTTAAAGTTAAAAAGATAAACAGGGGCCTTATGAGATAAAAGCCACATTTGTTTTGTTTTTAAATCATGGCTTTAAAGCCCATATTGGCAAAAAACCTTATCGATAAAGCACTAAGAAATAGGTATCTTAGGACTAGGGTGGTATGATACTGTAAACAGTCAGTGGGGCAAGAGTCAACTGTTATCATGGGATATGAGGGGGCTTCAGAAATTCAATGACCTTCCAATATACAATATTTACCTGTGAGAATCGACTGGTCAACTCTTAGAGTTGTAGATTTGATGGAAGTTAATCTTATATCAGCAGGAACTTTGTCACCAACTAATTGGGAGGAAAAAATGCAACTAAAATAAGCAACTTTTGCAACCTACAGACGAATTTGTCTCCAAATCAAACACAATTTTTTAAGAAAGTAAGTAACCTGTATATAGCATCAATATATCAAATTCTGCTAAAACAAGCAAGGTGACCCACCTATCTCAGGGTCATAAAATCTGAATTACATAGCATGGATACAAAATTTGAATTACATAGGAGGAAGACAATGATGTTTAGGAAAACCTAAGTACACGTTATTCTAGAGAGTCTGAGCCTCGCACAGTGGCATGCACCTGCAATCCCAGCACTCTGGGAGGCTAAAGTGGGAGGATTGCTTCAGCCCAGGAGTTCCAGACCAGCTTGGGCAACATGGCGAGACCGTGTCTCTACAAAAAGTTCTTAAAAAAAATTAGCTGGGTGTGGTGATGCACACCTGTAACTGCAGCTACCCGGGAGGGTGAGGCAGGAGAATTGCTTAAGCGCAAGAGTTCAGGGCAGCAGTAAGCTATGATGACGCCACTGCACTCTAGCCTGGGTGACAGAGAGAACCTTGCCACTTAAAAAAAAAGGCGGGGGGCGGGGAGAAATAAAGAGTTTGGTGTAACATATTTTCTTAGGCTTACTACATATATACGAGGCACAGTGAGAGGAGGGGAATCAAGTTGTAAATGTCATGGTTCATTCCATCAAAACGGCTAAATTACTATGAACATGAAACATATCTTTTAGAAGATATTCAATTAACCTCACGCAACAAATGCAAAATAAAACTACATGGAAATGCTACTCTTAGAAACTATCAAATTGACAAACAAGAATTGAGAAAATAGACCCAGTTGGCAATGATGTATAGAAATGGGAATTCATTTTTTTATTTTTAAAAATTTTTTCTTCTTTAGTAAGAGTACAAACATCAGAGAAACAGGAATTCTCAAACAGCATGACCACAAGGCATGGAAATATTGCAGTTTTAATCAGTTAAAGTTAAAAAAAAAAAAAATTCAGGCTGGGCGCAGTGGCTCGCACCTGTAATTCTAGCACTCTGGGAGGCTGAGGCAGGAGGATGGCTTGAGGTCAGGAGTTCAAGACCAGCTTAAGCAAGAGCGAGACCCTGTCTCTATCAAAAACAGAAAAATCAGGGAGGCGTGGTGGTATGTGCCTGTAGTCCCAGCTACTTGAGAGGCTGAGACAGGAGGACCGCAAGCCCAGGAATGTGAGGTTGCAGTGATCCATGATGACACAACTGTACTCTAGCCGAGGCAACAGAGTGAGACTCTGTCTCAAAACAAAACAAAAAATCAGAGGTACACATCACTGGAGGCAACTCATCAGGTACATGTGCACAGATTAATGTAACATCACTAACTGCTATATCATGGAATATTAACAGCCCATTTAATAGTTTACCTATGCTTCCAGACTTTATGTCTACTTCTCCTGTACGTGCTGCTGTGTGCATATGAAAGTAACAACAGTTGTAAACTCTAACAGGCAAATTAGCAATATATATCAAAACTGCAAGGCATAATCTTTTTATCCCACAGATTGCACTACTAGGAATTTATTCTATAGATACATTCACACAACATGTATTCACAGCATAGTTTTTTGTTAACAGCAGAAAGATGAGATAACTTTTCACACTGAAGTGAAAATTCTTAGGATACACTGTATTAAGAGAGGGAAAATACAAGATGTGAAACATCACTTATATGGGGCTACCAAAGCTATAATAAAATACCTCCAGGAAGGTTAACAAACTGGTAACACTGCATAGGTGGGGCATGGGTGGAGGGAGACTTTTTACTTTATACCCTTTGGTACCTTTTAAAATTTGAATTATCACATAAATGAATAAACCTCTTCAATAACCTGAAGAAGATCTTTAAGTCAACTGAGCCTTCTTTCCTGGGCCAATGAGTTCCTTCACTAGCCCTTGAAGGGTCCACATCTCAGCCCCTTTCCTTGATGTGTATAAAGTAAAATGCCACAACACAGACCTAGTAACAGGCAAAGCCAATGTTTCACATGTACCTTGAGAACAGTGTCCAGACCACTGTTGGTTTCAAATATTGCTGAATGAGCGTACATCCATATGAAAGCAGATGGACATTAAAGTAAGTGTAAACAGCTTTCCATTTTTTTCTGAAAGGTAATTAAGGTGGTTTTGGAACTTTTATGCAGGGGTAGCTAAAAATTAGAATAAACAAATTCACCCTGTGACTGCAGACAGTATTTTTAAGCCAATCTCCATTTTACTCTGCACACTGAACTATAACCAGTTACATATGAAATGGCAGTTGGGCGCAGTAGCTGACACCTGTGATCTCAGCACTTTGGGAGGCCAAGGCAGAGGATCACTTGAGGCCAGGAGTTTGAGACTAGCCTAGGCAACACGGCAAGAACCAGTCTCCACTAGCCATCCCATCCAAGAAGGAAATGGTTAAACTTGTTCCACTTTCAATTTAGTTCTGATTTTTCTGCACTTTAGAGCTTTTAAATTCAAGGAGAATATGGTTTTGCTTTTTTAACTGTAGTGCATGAAACAACCCTATAGCATAAGTAGGCAATGTGGTCATGAGGTGGCACAGAAAGAGTTTGTCAATATATAATCTCAAGAGGCAATGATCATCCCTGCATTTGACTGCAGGGACATTTAAGTTAAGGTGAAATATTCCTGCTGGAAATGCTTATGCAATGAACAGCAATATTCAGACTGAACAAACTAAAACCTTTCACTTGAATATCTCTGCTCATACTACACTGAAGGGAAGACATCTAACAGATGATTAAGACAAAGCAACCATATTCTAAACTTTAGTGGTCTTCAATAGCTTAAATGCCCTATATTGTATTATTTCTGCTTATCATAATTAACTTGATCTCACATTCCCTTAAACATTCTGAAAAGAGTACACTTCAAGGCTGAGTGTTACGACCCTAAATGGATAATTTACTTGCAAATGTTCGTTTGATGTCTCAGGGGATTTATGTCATGACTGTATGGGAGCAGAAGATGAGAGTTCTGCCCAATGTGGCAACAGAGGTCCTCAATCGTATCTCTGCACTGCAAGTGCTGTAAATACACAGTAATGCTATTTAAACAATTCCACATATAAGCCTTAGCTCATACTCTCACATGCCTGTTTTAAAAGGTCAGCAAATTTCATATTCAAATTGAGGACAACCTATAAGAGGATACAAAAGCAATATCTTGGCATTTATTCTGCTGTGTTTCAGTGGAAACTCAGAGGATCTAAAATGAACATAAAATGTACTTCTGAGGCAATAAATACTAAGGTTAAATTTCCCAGGTAACACAGGAATTATGGGTTGAGTGCGCATCCCTTATCCAAAATGCCTGGAGCCAGAAATGTTTGGGATTTTATAATATTTGCTCCATCTTCTTACCAGTTGAGCATACATAATCCAAAAACCCCAAAATCTGAAATGCTCCAGTGAGCATTTCCTTTAAGTGTCATGTTGGTGTTCAAAAAGTTTCTGATTCTGGAGCATTTCAGATTAGGGAGACTCAACCTATATCTATTAGTGTAAGGTAGGACCAATACTATATAATGTTGCATAAGAAGTTATATTTATACTGGCATTACAAAGAAACCAACAGGGACTCTTTCCCTAAAAGTCTACTGAAATATATGAAGACTATCTCTTTGCTGTACAGAAACTGTATTGATTTAATTGTTGGCCAAATATTGAGGAACACCTCAAATGGCAAATGCTAGAGGAACAAATGACCTGGGAAGCCCCTAAAAACTGGCCTCGAGCTCTTAACTTGTCTTTCATCTTATAATTTCCATTCTAATTGGGAGGTAATTAAATATATAGGAATTACAAGAAGAGTTGATCTGGGAGCCTTGTACAGGTTTTCAGGACCCACTTTTTGAGAGTATGGTTTGATGCATTTGGAGTGGGATCTAGGAATTTTAAAAACGTTTTCCAAATACACTAAAAAAGTTAATGCAAGGGGTAAAAAACAACTTGAGTCACAGATCTCGCTTGTTTAGAGCATGCTGCCTTTACACTGTGCTGTTTATCATGTACCAGTTACCCTAGCTCTACACTAACAAGCCCCTAAACCTCCCAACATTTGGGAAATGTGCTGCTACCTTAAAACTGTGTGTTTAACTGGTTTCCATTAGAAACTGATCTCTTCATGGAAAGATACTAAAGAAGCATAAATCCAAACTGGCTTTATAGCTAGAAGGCCTGTCACATTATCTTCACCAAGCCATTATTCCTTCATTTTACACACAGGAACTCAGGCCAGGAAGTAAAAGGAGTCTTGCCTAAAGAAATACAAGTAATGAAAAAGTTTGTTTAACCTGCTCCGTGTGACTCAGCTTCATTCTTTTTGTCTGTAACACAGTCAATTTAGGATTGACACTATTAGGAAGCAGGTTCTCTTAAGGAGCTAAGATCCATGAAAGTAAAGATCCACCAAATACTTTTCAAAGGAAGACATAACAATTTCCCTTTGTCCACGGACTTCTGTGAATTCCAGACAGAGGGTTTTGTGCAAGAGGAGCAGGCTGTGTTGTTCTGATGATCACATCCAGTGATATTTCCCTGATGAGGCATGTCAGTGCCCTTAGGGCAAGTGGTAGTGGAAAATTCTTACACTTGCCAAGAGGATGCTCTGCAATCTTCCAATTTTTTTTTTTTCCCTCTGAGTCTTTGGGTTGAGGCAGGTATTATAAAAGAATAAACTCTGTTAAACTACCTTCCATTTGTTTAATATCTGACACTTTTCAAATTCGGCTCTTGGCTCCCTAAGTCTATAGCTCTTTAATCTGCTACCACAATAAAGATTTCCACTCGGAACAAAATCCTCAGAGTATACTTCACCACGAGTGCAAGAAAGAGACAATTAAAAGAAATTATCACTTTGCCACACTTTGGAAATGTAAGCTTTCTTTATAAGGAGTGTTTAGAGCCATGATACTTATTTGCACCATGTATGTCAAATATAAATACTGGTGGTT